TATACGATTTTGCCAACAAAATTCTGCCAGTGTGAAATAAGCTGGCAGCTGAGGGCGTCGAAGCATAGTGTTAGACCTACGATAGCATCTGCATGGGTGAGCATGTCTCATATATACATATATCTACATCCATATACGTACATATTTGATGTATATGTGCATGTATATACTTTATGTATATATATTAATGTATATCAACGCACATTGCCAACTACCTATTTGTGTCCTTCGCCTGTCGCCGAGCATTAATATCAATTTTTGCTGTCATAAATCCAATGAGACATACATTTGTACCAAATTCCTATCTTCTGCTAGTTCTATTTGTATTTGCATACACATAACATATATATGGACAAATGATTGTGTACACACACACATACATACACACATGGGCAAACGCATTCACACTCACATGTCATGGCGGCCATTTGACAGCTCCGTATGTGACTTTTACTGCTTTCTCTCTCCATATTTTTTCGTTTTTTTTTTTATTATAAATGTTGAAATATGGGTCGCCTGAGGGCGTAAGAGTCCTGGCCAGCCAGCCACACAGTCAGCTGTGTGTAAGTGTATGCGTGACTATAAAGAGTGTGCAAAAACTTGAATAAAAATGTAAAAATTCTTCATGTGAGTTTGCTGGGAAATTGTGAAAAATGCATTGACATGGTAAGCAAACTGCTAAGTAAACAAACTAATATATATACAGACATGCAGCTTGCACATACATATATATTAGGGTGGGTCAAAAAAAAAGTTTTCTTCTCGCTTGGTACTCGGAAAAATTGGTTGGCAGACACCTCTTAGAAAAGCTCTCCAGCTATCCAAGATTAACGATTTTAAATTTTTTTTCTACTATTTTTTTTTTTGTAAATAGAAGCGAGAAATGAATTTTTTTATCTGATAATAAGAAAAAAATAGAAAAGGAGGACTTTCCCGTTACGAGCTCATACTTGGAGAGCCTTTCTAAGAGGTGTCTATCAACCAATTTTTCAAAGTACCAAGCGAAAAAAAACACTGTTCTCTTTTGACCCACCCTAATATTAATATATTTATTATAAATTTCCGTACTCGAGGAAAATTATTTAAACGTTTAACTTTAAAGTATCTTTGGCAAGATTTTGATGAAATTCATATCAGCTTTTAGGTTAGGAAAATATACTGAGGAATTCGAACGTATAGTCTTTACCTCAGTTAAGTGTGTCGAATACAAGATTACCGCTAGAAGTGCTGTGCAAAAGAATTCACAACAAAAACTTCTTTTAATTTCTCCCCATTTTATCTGAGCGTGAACTTTATTGACATCTATTAATGATACCTATTCTAATTTGCGAAAGGAGACACAGCAAAAAATAACTGAGGTCTGAACTAAAGGGCAATGTTAATGGTTGGGATATCCTAGTCTAGGGCCCAGAATTTTTTTCATCTTTGATATTTGATAAAAACAAAGGACGTGATATTATTACTATCAATAATAAACAAATGTATTCACGTCATAAATTAAAAAAAAAAAATTTATTTACACATTTTAAAAAAAACGTATGGGAGCAAAGGTCGCGGCCTTGTTATCACAATTTCTCCCCTGTGGTTATCATAAAAACGAATCATTAACGGATTATTGATTAGTACAATTGTCATTATTGAAGGAATCAACAAACCTGAAAAAATAATGTTTTCGTTAAATGACGGACTCTTTAAAAATACATATTAATTTTTTACTTTCTCCAATTTTTTATAAACATTCAATTTTATATTCATCGATAGTGCCGTTTTTTAAATTTTCATTTCGTTTTTTAAATTCATAATAAATTTCGAGTAAAACTAACTAATTAAAACTGGAGATAACGTGACGATCGCATCGAAAAAAGGTAGTTTTGAGAAAATTGCGTTTAAAATATCGGCATCTAGTTGGTAGACACTAAAATATAACTAAAAAATTATAAAAATGTGAATTTTAAAAAAATTCTTCCGGATATACATTTTTGAATCTATCACTATCACTATCGAAATATAAAAAAGTGGATTCGCGGTCATTACAAATGTCTAGATTATTTCAAATTTCTCTTTTACAACCATGAGATCGATAGCCTCCTGTCAGAGAATTTCAATGTAAGCATCAATTGAACCGTTTCAATCATTGCCCTCAATTCTAACCTATACCATGTAAAATAAGAAATCAGTGAAGTGAATATACCTTCTCAAGGCACCTTCCTTCTTGTCATTAATATCGTAAAATATTTTATACATTTTCAAGTAGTTAAGTATGCTCTACAGATTTATTTATTTCGAAAGTTGAGACGAGTTTACTCTTTTCTCTGCTAACACCACTTGGTTCTAGTCGTATGAGTCTTTTATAGTATACCACACAAAATTTTTTTTTTTAAATTTATTATGCTTTAATAAGAAAACCTCACATTGCTGTTGGAGGTTTTTATGAACGATCGAAATCTAAATATGTGTAAATCGCTATTTATTTAGCTAGGAACGAAAATTTTGCTATGTGCTTAGTGGGCTTGGCAGTGAATATTCCACTATAAGCTTTCCCTACGGCCAAACTCTTAATTTGTCCTTATACTGTCAACATTTGGACCGTCTGAAGGAAGCAATAGCTCCGAAGCGGCTAGCTTTGCTTAATAGCAAAGAAATTGGGTTGCATCACGATAACGCCAGGCCATTCATATCGATAGTGACTTGCTAGTAGCTCCGGAAGTTTGGCGGGGCTATTCGCTTTATAGTTTGGACCCTGAAAATAAGTGATTTTTGTCTATTCTTGTCTATGGCGAAAAATTTTATTGGTGTAATATTCGCTTCCAAAGAAGCTTTTAAAAATCGACTGTCCTCGTTTTTTCCCAATGCTGGTTGTAAAAGGATTTCTATGGAAGTGGCATTATGAAATTACTTGTCGTCGGTTGCAGTGCATTCCACAAATTTCAATCTAATCTAACTATGCTTAATAAAATCTTAATTTTTGTGCAAAAATAATGGCCTTCTTTTTACTAAACTTTTACGATATCGAAATGCTCCAGTTGCATGGGAGACAACGCTGTCATGCAATATCTTCAAATAACGGCCAGATTTCGAAAAGTTTGGTTTCAAGTATATTGCGATATATTTGATTATTAAGCGAAGATGCTCTCAAGACCAATTAAATAACAAGTGAACAGCTGTGTTAATATGGCTTTAGTAAAATTAATTTTCCAAATATTTAATATTAGTTAATTGTTATACCCTTAACAGGGTATATTAAGTTGGCTACGAGGTTTGTAACACCCCAAAGGAAGCGTCGACGACTCTAAAAAATATATGAATACATAATAAAAATGATCAGTATGACGAGCTGAGTTGATTCCGTCTGTTTGTATACGCGAACTAGTCACTCAGTTTATTAAGATATCGCTCTGTAATTTTGCACACGTTTTTTCGTTTCCAAGAAGCTGCTCATTTGTCGGAACTGCCAACATGGAACTACTATGACATATAGCTGTCAGACAAACTGAAACATCAAAATCAAATGCTTGTATGAAAAACGTTTTTATTTGACAAGTTATCTGCACCAATTTCGACATAGATTATTGCCTAAAACAACGCTATAATATCCCAAGAAATTTTCCAGAACGGAGTATTACATAATATAGCTGTCATACAAGCTGTTCTTACATAGAAAACTATTTTATGTGACAAGATATCTTCACGAAATTTGACGAGGCTTGATGCCTAAACCAATGCTAAAATTTTTGAAAATATTGTTCAGATCGGATCACTATAGCATAGAGCTGCCATACAAACCCACCGCTCAATAAAACTTCTTGTATGAAAACTTTTTTATTTTTATAAAATTCGGCCTCCGAAGATAATGTTTAGATCTGGCTATTATAGTATATAACTGCCATACAAAAAGACCGTTCAAAAGCAAGTTCTTGCATGAAAACTTCTTTATTTATGATGGGTACTCTAGCGTTAACGTTTTTATTTTATGTTTTTATTTGATTATGCCTGCTATCTCTTTCCTCCATGAGACAACCCTTTTACCCTAACCTACGTTTTTCTTATCTCTGTTACACTTTGTCTTATTTTTGCAAATAGTACAAATTTACTTTTTTCAAACAATAATTATTTATAACTAATTTAGCTGCAATTAACTACTGTGCATGATATTTGTCATATTTTGCGAATCTGTGAAATAGTTTTCACGAAAATACTTTTATCTTTTGAAGAACATCAACAGAAATACACAATAAGCGCATATACATACATAGTGCTTTCATTAATTTATGCATATGTAATGCCAGTAATTACCGTTAACACGCACAATACGCGCCAAATAGCCGTTTGTTGGTTTTGTTAATTTGGTAGCGATTATAGTTGTTGCCCCACAGCCTGCTGCTCCACAAGCGCCACAGAAGCTAAATTATCAACGTCGATAATCGCACTTTAATGACCGCTTAAATTAAATGCTTTTTGCAATTAGTTGTTTGGATTCGCGCAAAATTTTTTATATGCACACTTTTAATACACCCTGTTTTTCAACTCAAAAATGAGAAAGCATAAAAGTACAATATTAATTACAGCAGCGGCAATCGATAAGCTATTTGTGCAAACCTCAATCGGCAGGCAGAAAAGGAAAGCGAGACAAAAAAACGCCACAAAATAAAAATATTTATTTTTATTATTAAAATTAATAGTAATTATAGTCGGGTATCAATTATAAATGAATTAACTTAATAATGAATGCATATAAAAAATATATTAATTACAGTAGCGCATAAATTGCATAATTGCAGGTGTGCGCCACGGCTGCATCGCTGTAGCATAAAGTGTTTTTAATTAAACTTGCATATGCTTTAAATCTACTTTTTAATCAGTCGAATGCATAAGCAGGATATGCGTATAAATCGTTTTTGTTCTTTGTTTTTTTTTGTTTTTAAATGTGCAGATCGAATTTTCATTTTGCTTTCATTCACTTTCGTTTTAAACTTAATCACTGCTTTTTTCTTTGCTTGCAGACTGAAGGTGGATAATAATGGCGGCGCTTGGTGTCCGAAGCATATGGTTTCGCGTGGTCTCAAGGAGTATTTACAAATAGACTTGCTGCAAGTACATGTCATCACGGCGATACGTACGCAGGGTCGCTTCGGCAAAGGGCAAGGTCAGGAGTATACCGAGGCGTATGTGCTCGAGTATTGGCGTCCCGGTTTTGAGAAGTGGCTGCGCTGGAAGACCATACAAGGCAAAGAGGTGAGTAGTAACATTAATAAAGAACTGAGCAATTGTTTAGAATTTGAAATATTCAGGCATTAACAAAGTGTTTTTAATTTTTTAACGCTACGTTTTAAAAAAAAAACCGCTTTGTTCTTATTCATGGCTCCACTATATGTATCAGAGATCGATTAAACTGCAGAACAAAGCAGTCTGCACATAACCACAGAGGGATGTGAGAGAGAGATGGTTTTATTAAAAGGGCTAATTTCACAAAGAAGTTTAAAGTCACTTTGGGTAGCAAAATAGGTAGCGACTTTACACTTGACTTGTTACTCAGAGAAAGGACTTTTCACTGGTATACCGATAGCTCGAAAGCGGCGGAGGGCATTGGTTCAGGTATTGCAGGTTCGCGCACTAAGCTCCCCTTGGCTTTGCGCAGTTTTCCCAGCGTTTTTCAGGAAGAATTCGTCTTCTTTACAATAAGTCGGTGTGCAGAGATCAACCTCCAGCGCAACTATCAGAATGGGGTGTTGCTATATTCAAGGATAGTCAGACAGACGGCGATGATATCCTCGATATATATATCGCTTTTGACAGCAAATCTAGCTGTAACCGAGTCCATCTCATTTGTGTACCAAGGTATAAAGGTATATCTAGGAATGAAATAGCTAAGTAGCTTGCCCCCTCTGCAGCGGCTACCAAACCATCTTTAGCCCTTCTGTGCAGCCGGTCCACTCACCATAAGAAAATCGTTCCGGAAATTTTCTGTCATATCTATATATATATATATACAACTAAGGGCTAATTTCGGAGAACACATAGGCGATAGGCTTACTACAGTTTCCCTACTACGTTTTGCTTCATGTCCGACATTTTTTTTATTTAAATCAATCTAGTTAACTCAAATGATAAATCAAATTATAAATGTGATATAAACTCAACCAAAGAAGCGAAATTAAATATATAAAAAACGTAGGAATGAGGGTCAGGACTGACTGTATTAACTTTTGGCATTACTCAAGTATACCCGAGAACATGTGTCTACGCAATTTTGCTAATATAAGTTACACACACATTATGTGTAGTATATGGGAGCTCGAGTAATTCATAGAGCGATTTCACCCATTTAACTGTTGTATATCACGTTCACTTAAATTTGCTTAGATATCTTACATAGTGACCACTATATATGTATGGTAAAGTCAACAGGGAGTTTGAAAATGTTTGTGTTATGTAATTTGGGGGCTAGAAGAAGTATTGACCCGATTTTACTACTTTTTGACACAAGGATATGCAATTAGCATAGAACACACAGAATAGCCGATTTTGTCAGTAAAAAATCAACCAGGCGCTGGTTCACATATATTCGGTATATAGTTGTTTGGAAAGTTATAGTCCGATCTCGGTAATTTTTTTTCAGATTGAATTTAAAATTGTTGTATATAGGAAGTAGGCGTCGTTGAAGCCCGATCTCGCTTATTTCATCACTGTAGCATAAGAACGTCGAATGGTAATGTTGAGTCAAGTTTGGCTGAAATTGCTGAAATAGTTACTGGGGTATAGGATTTCACCTAAAGGTGAGGCCCAATTCCATCCATCTACATACCTACACCAAGTTCCCACCAAATATCTTAAGTTTAGTCAAAAGTAAAATGTACTAACAATTATAAAAATATATTGGTTCAAGTTTCTATCTTACTCTCTCTCTCTCTCTCTCTTATGATGGCTATCATGACTTATTATGCAGAAAAAATAGGTCTCCACAAATCGAAGGCTTGACATTACAAACCGGAACAGGGCCATTACATATGCAAATAAGTATAGAGTATAATTTTTGTTAATAAGAGAGCTATTATCAAATAAATCACTTAATTATTGAAATATGTTTAGTACAGTCATTATATGCACTAAAACATGTATAAATACTTGCTGTACAAATATGTTTATAATCGCCTCAATATGAGTATATTTAGACCCTATGTACCTATATATATACAAAAGCCGCATAGTTAATGTCTGCAATTGCATTGTCTCCCACAATTGTTTCCTCCTCCAACAGTTTTACCCAAAAAAAACAAAAGCATTTACAAACTGCTTGCAACACCTTTTTCTATTAGATAATATACATATGTTGAAATATATATTTCCAGGTGTATATTTACTCTAACCTTATACCTTATACGCCTCTTATTATTGTCTTAGCTTGGGGCCATGAAATTCGAAACTTCGACAATCGTTCGTTCACTCGCCCATATATTCACACATTAATCAAAGCGATAATAATCGCATGCTAAAACTACAAGTATGTATCTTCGTTGTTCGCTTGAGCTTGTGTCTGGACTGAGTGAGCGTTGCTTGCTAGCCTAGAGCACGCCTTTCTTTAATTTTTCGCTTTGCGCTAGTGAGATTTCGTTCCGCCCGCAACAACTATTTTTCGATTACATTTCGCTCTTTACCTTGTTGGAGATCGCTGTCTGTTGTCTGAGGTTTGTGTAAATTTCGTGTGCGTGTAGCAGAAATTGCGTAGGTGTCGCGGCAAAAATTATGAATGTTACACCTAGCAATATTTTATGATACGAAATATGCCGGGTGTGCAAAAAAGAGATAAAAGAGCGACAAAAAAAAGTATGAAGACGTTTTTATAACCTGAACCTACACAGTTTATCACGAAGTTTGTAAAACCCAGATGGAAACGTCGTAGACCCAATAAACTATACATATAAATAATCAGTGTGACGAGCTGAGGTGATTTAGCTGTGTCCATCTGTCAGCCTATATATTATATATATAAGAATTATATTATATATTATATATTCTTGTAGAACTACTCATTTCTCGGAACCACCGATATCGAACAAGTTTTTGTATTTGACAAGATATATTCACGAAATTTGGCACGCATTATTATCCAAAACAATGGTACAGTTTTCTAAGATATTGTTCAGATCGGATCTGTATAGCATAAAGCTGTCCTACAAATTGACGGATCAAAATGAAGTCTTTATATGGAAAAAAATTTTATTTGACGAGATATCTTCACGAAATTTAGTACTTACGGTACAATCTTCGAACAAATCGTTTAGATCAGTTTACTAAAGTATATAGCTACCATACAAACTGTACGATCGGAATTAAGTGCTCGTATGGAAATTTTTTTATTTGTGATGGGTATTATAGCTTCAGTGCAGCCAAAGTTAACGTTTTGCTTGCTTTATCTTCCAAATAAAGCTTCGAGTAGTTGTTTATTCATTGTACCGCAAATAGTTGTTTATTAAATATATTATTCCTTTTTATATATTCCACTGACCATTTGTAATTGCCCAGCAATGTGTGCACTTACTCATTATCTCTATTTTTTATTCCTTTTTCCAGATACTAACAGGCAATATAAATACTTACAGCGAAGTGGAAAATATCTTACAACCGATCATTTTCGCCTCGAAGGTGCGCATCTATCCATACAGTCAATACGATCGTACTGTCTGCTTGCGCGCTGAAGTCGTCGGTTGCCTTTGGGAAGGTGAGTAAAGTTATGAGATTTGTTGTCATCGATCATCATAGGTAAAGCTGGTTATGTATATCTGTTTCGATTTGAAGTCTATAATACAACTTTCATACTCTATTTACTACTTCTTCAACTCTATTTAGTATTCTCAGGATCTCCAAAGTACACTCACCCTTGACGATTTTTCATAAATTCTGTAAAATTGTCCTGTATCCATTATTTCTAATTTCGGACTAAATTTACTATACAAGAGACATTGTTTTGATTGGAGGTTAGATTCAGACATTCATCTTGAAAATGAACTTATAACATATTGTGACTTAGGTAAGTCACCGATAACGTGGCAATGTGGCTTTGGCCTCAAGATTTAAAGTACAAAGTACTCAAAGCTTAAACGAAAGCTTACACCACTTCAAGCCAAAATATTTTAAAATATGATTAACTATGTAGAATATCAAGCGAATAACGGAAAACATGCTGTTAATGATAGGGAACTGGCCCACGGAATAGAAAACTGAATTTTAGTAAATGATCCAATAGGACTACAGTCCTATTTACATCAACAATTCCATGTACAATAGTATAGAAATTTCCTGAAAATAACGGTGGTACATATTATATTCGTTCTACTTCTCTTGCCGCTATATCACTTTGTGAGCTTTTGGCCTGTTGCCTAAGTAACCTTCAGGCATCTCAGCCAATGTCTATTTTGATCCAATGTTTTATAGTGAAATCTTCTTCCAATTCCTCGATCCATCTTGATATTGATATTTCCTTTCCTATGTGTTGAACGCTTTGGCTTCAACAATTTTCTTTTACGCCAACTTGTCGTCTATTCTTGTTACGTCGACTAGACATCTTAAGCGCTGCGCTTCGAAGAAACACACATCGTCATTATCTTTGACTGCTTCAAAGGTTTTCCATACAATTTGTCTTTCAAAGATATGCGGGTATATACAGCGTCTACCAATAGGGATGTCGTGATCTTGACAGCTCGTGACGGCCAGGTTCGTTTACGGATTTGTGTCATATTTTGTCAGTGAGTTCAGTAAGGTTTGCTATTTGCTATGTTAAATCACAGGCTTAGGGCAAACCACCTGCAGCGCTCGTGTAGCTCGAGGACAACATTCAGCGCACTATAGCCAAAATTCCAGCCGAAATGCTGCACCAGGCCATCGAAAATTGACGAAAAGTGGTACCCATTTGGCCGAGATTTCGTTCAAACCATAAATACCATAAAATTATCTGCATAACAAAAAAACGGAACCCATTTTGACTAAATTTGAGTTTTTTATTTCATTTCAACCTCACGTCGTTTTGTTTTTGTTAGTAGACCCTGCACGTTAAGGCTACCCAAATTTATCGTAAAATGTCAAACAAAGTTCAAGATGAGGGTGGGGATTACCCATAGATTCTCGTCGTTCAATCGTTTATGGGACACACAAAAGACTTGGCGTTGAGCACTGAGAGTTAGCAATAGTATTGAAATGCTACGTAGTTTCACAAAGTTAACTGGGAGAATAACACTTGGAGAATTTTTTTTTTTTTGTTTCTACCATGCCGAAGTTCTATCAAATAGCTGTCATTTCTACCAAGTATAGTCTGCAATTTATAGCCTATTGTCACAACGAGCTGTTTTAGTCTATTATTCAGATTCTTTTTTAAATTGAAGGTCTAAGGATTGGATAATTGAATTACAAAACACCAGTAAGTATAGATTGATTTAGATTTTGCAGTAAAAGTTATTAATTATGTAGGATCTATCATGGAGATCTTTGCCACAGTGATTCAATCTGAACAAGAAATTTGGAGAGTGTAACGTTGTCAAATAAAACAGCAGTCTGTGCTAAATTTCGGGAAGATTTCTTGCCGAATACTAAACATTTTCTTACCAAGACTTTACTTTGATATGTCAGTTTGTATTGGCCGTTTTGACAAATGATCAGCTGTTTGAAGAGAAAGAAACGTGTACAAAATTAAAGTTGGATACCACAAAAACTGAGAGACTATATAAAGGCGGACAGACAGATGAACATCACTAATCGGCGCTGCACGTCACCCTGATCATTTATATATGTGAATACTTTATAAAGTCTCCAACGCTTCCTTCTGGCTGTTCCAAATATGATGACAAACTTTATATACCATGCTCAGGATATAAAAATACTATTTAATTTCACTCGATTACAAAAATGGTTCAATAAATTGAGTAAAACTCTACCATATTGGCTTTTAAACCATTTTACCTTACAAAAATATCGCGTAATATATTTCCTTCAAAAATGTTTGCCTTTTGGCTGCGCCCTCCTGCTACAGTCATACCACTTTCAGCAAATTATCTATTGAAATCCCTAAAGCTGACAAATTTAAGCAAATAATCTTTTTATGTGTACTCACTTGTACAATCTCACGATATCCATAAAAACACATCAACTTGTCGCTCTGCATTTTCCAAATGAAATATCTTAAACTTGTCACACATGCAACTCTGCAACACATGCAACTATTTACTTACACATACACACAAACATGCAGGTAGTTTGTTATCCATTTTGACACATGAATTTTGCAACTGTAAATCAATCGGTGCATGAAACAACACTTCTGCAGCATAGAAACCAAAAACAACACCTAAAATAAAAATATATTTTGCTTTCAACCTTGTCAAAGCAATCGCATGCAAATGCAACATTTTGCTGTCAATACATATTTGATGCAAATGGAAAATGGTGACTGGGGAGCAATGGTGAGTACCACTCGGTTGGCACTGCATCGCTTACGCTGTCACACATTTGACTTTTGAATAAATGAATTATTGATTAGCGTCCTAAGTGTGCGAATCCTATTTGTTTACATGGCTATGTATGTGTAAATGTATCCATGTGTGTGTGTGAATGTCAAATTTGTAACTGTTAGTTGTGATTGAAAAAAACGCTGTTTAGAGTGTATACAGACAGCACTGTTACAAAGGAGAGCTCTTTGGATACTACTTTTATAAAAAACGAGTTAGAAAGAAATCTAAAAAAAAAACAAAAAAAAAAATTTTTAAAGAGCTTATTATCTTTAAGTGAATAATAAAAAAATTTTGCTGAAAGGGTTTCGTATTTATTATAGAATTCTACGATAGTTGCTTATATTTAGGATATAGGAAAACTAAATGTGTTTTGCTTATATCAAAATATTGCAAAATTATTCAACCTAATTTAGAAAAACAACTGAATAAATCAGCAATTCTAACAGTACCCTCAATATAAATTTAAAAATAAAGCTCTTAAATAGCGCTACTGAATTTCGTTTAGTCAATAACCAAAAGTCTTAAGCATTTGTAAAAACAGGCAACAGTTTCTGTGGCAGTTATATAGTAGTGCGACATCTATAACTAAACTCTGACAAATGAGCAACTTCTTGAGGAGAAAAGCACGTGTACAAAATTTCTGATCGCTATCTCAAAAACTGAGGAACTAGTTCACGTATATATAGGCGGATAGGCGTATATGCCTAAATCGACTCACCTTGTCACGCTGTGCCAAACTTAATAACCCTGTTCAGGCCATAATGGAAACCAAAACACGCTAACCATACACTTACTTGTTATGCCTTGAGTAAAAAAAAAGATAGAAAAGGCAGATTGTTAGCTTTTCAATTGTGGTAGTCAGCATACCGGCAAAACTTAGAAATTTTAAAGTGATCTCTATCCGTGATCCGATCGGTTTACTTCTGAAGCATATAAAGCCATGGACTACGACTCTAAACCAAACAATAAAGGCTCAAAATGTATGGTATATGTTGCCGCAGAAACACAATTTAATCGCATACTTACTTATTAAAGCTTTGAGATTAATCTTCGATATAATTAATACATTTTTGTGATACCAAATTCTTCTGCATATTGATGTAAACACTCAGATATCAAGAAAATTCCTTGAACAAATTACAAATCTACTAGGCGATTAATTTCAAATCCAGCTGTTAACCTAAATGACTGACATGCTTCTATCTGATCTCTTTGCAAACAATTTTAATAATTGTGGCAAACGATAATATTTGCCAATATTTTTGTAGTTAGCGCAAAGTCTGACATCAGATTTAAAGGCGGGTTTTCAATCATAGATTCCACTTCAACCATACCTTATGCATTTACGCTTCTGTAAAGGAGCTTCACATCCAACCACTGTCTGCATCCAAATCTGCATGTATAAGCCCAGCGAAGATACCACAATTGTTGGCTCTGCGATACCGTGGTGCATACATTTGCAAAATGACATGAATATTACTAAACTTACAATATTACTCATTTCCATACCTTTCCTACCCAGCATACTGTCTTTATAAGGAAATGCCGAGTATACGTCGACACACTTACACTATTGAAGACAGCGGGTATAGGAAAGTTGCATATAACATCTTTTATCACCCTAAATTATTATCACACTAATAATATCGCAATGAGTTTGTCTAAAGTCTTTAATCTAACATAAACACTTTAAAAACATTTATTCTTATATTTTAGAGAATAAACCAAAATGCAGGGATTTACTGTTTAAACTAAGATCGCATAGTAACTATTTTGTGGTTGAAGTGAAATCATTCAAATACCGATATAGTTAACCAGAAGTTTCTTATAGGTTATTTTATATAAATTTAGAGATAGGCTGTTGCAAAAAATGTAGTTACAATTATATAGATACTTTTTGAGCGTCCCCTATACAATTTTACGGCTTATACATATAAGATAAAAACTAACTAATGTACATGCATAATTTTATTTATAATTTGTTACTTAGAAATTTGAGGTATACTGAAATAATAATAAATATTACTAATTTGATATACCTTTCCATTTACACTTAAAATAGATGGCATCGTTTCGTATAGCATACCCAAAGGCATGCAGCGTGGTATGGAAATCGATCTATCAGATAAGACCTACGATGGGCATGAAGAAAGCGATCGATATATAAATGGTTTGGGACAATTAGTCGATGGTCAAAAGGGCAAGGATAATTTTCGCACCGATATTCATGGCTTTGGAAAAGGTAAGATGTGTAATAATTATAAAATATGTTAAAAACAAAAAATAAAAAATAAATAAAATAAAAGAACTTGCAAATACCTTTTAACAATAAAATTATTAAAGGTTTTGCCTTGTTATCTTTGCTCAATAAATTCAAATGTACATATATATAATATATATTTTTTTATTTCTAGGCTTTGAATGGATTGGCTGGCGTAATGATACACCAAATCTATTAGGTCATCCAGTCGAGATTACGTTTGAGTTCGAAAGCGTACGAAATTTTAGTGCAGTTATATTGCATACAAATAATATGTTCTCCAAAGATGTGCAGGTGAGATTTATTTACTTAAATAATGTTATACATATGGTATATAAGTTTACTGAAATCGTATTGTATTCAGTATTTAACAATTTAAACGCAACAAAGTACGTGCATAAATCTATGCCTCAAACCTTCGAACTTATTTTTAACACATATATTTTACAAATAACGAAAGCTTGTTTTTGTCAGAGAAATTCTCGGTTATTCAATACCTGTTTATTCAGAAATCACAGATATTTGAAAACCGCTTTCCTTTTGTTTCAAAACTTACCTCAACCAGAACTCTACACAGTTCTCAAAAAGTAGTCAACGCTCTTGATCAAATCCATCGCTATCTCCTTGAATTTCCTATCTTAGTTGTGAGGATATGAAGTAATATGTAACTAATCGAACTGAATTTAGAGATTTTAATAGTTGAGTTCGGCATATCTCGATGTCCGACAAAAGTGCAAGTCCTATTGAAAAGAGTTAAAATCTCGGCTACGTTGTCAAGCCTCTCCTTTGCGACCTTTACTTGACGACATAGCTGCAACAGACTCAGATCTTTTGGTACGAGTGTAGCATTGACACGCTGCTTCAGTCGATTTACAACAGATGTTGAAATCTTTCACTGTATCTCTGATGCCAATACGACGATCTTCAAGCTCTGTTTCCTTAACTTTATCGATGCAATTAACAGATGTGAGTGGACGTCTCGCATTAGGCGTATTGCGATGACTTCACTACCTTTATTGAATCCTATTTTTCTCTCATAAACTAGTGTTCGTGATTAAGTAGACTCCTCAAACCACTTCTGCAACATTTTCGACTAAACTTCATGCAAACATAAAAAAGCCAAAAGTACCGAACAGTCAAAATATCCAATCATCAAAGTCCGAGTCAAATTTGATCAGTTATGTAATTGTGCTCTTTTTCAAATCTCTGCCTGCCTCAAACAAATATGTACGAAGCCCAAAATAATAATTACACAGTCTTCAAAATCATTGCTGACGATAGTACTTGCTCCCTAGAAACCTAACTGTCTTCTCTTAAGGGGTTACACGGGTTTCACGGCTTCAAGAAAAAAATGTTTATTGTCTTATTTAATTCTATAATATATCTAGAATATTGTTCTAAATACTCAAGTTGAACCGAGTTATAGTTTTGGAGATACAGTTTTGAAAAGTTGCGCGCTCGAGGTTAGCTATATAGTCACTTCAAATTTTTAACGCGCTTTTCTCGAAACTGTGTCTTTAAAGTCGGTTGTCAAAATGTCTGGCGAACTACTCAACTGATCTTAATGAAAATTTATACAGGGCTTCGAGATATAATTTACAAGGTCTTGAACGAATATTTTTTTAGGTTCTATTAGAAGTGTTTCAAAACATAAATGTCGATAAATTTTCTACAAAAATTTGCATTTTTTGTAAAAATGTCTGCCAAAAAAATAATTTTAATTATTTTGGTTTTTCCTTTGTCCAATACCCAATTTATTTAGTTTTAACGTATTTTTGTATTACCTGTTTCTTTTGTTTGCTTTTGATCAACCTGTAAGAAGTTCTGTTGTCAACGCGGAGGCACCATTTTTCCGTGGGATATCCGTAAAAGCGTCGTATTGGCAGAGTTTTGAATATTTTCCTCTAAAAGTTTTACAAAATCTTTGTAAAATATGTATTTTTAGAATTATTAAAAGTTTGAATAAAATATTTAATTTTTTTTATATATAAAAAAAAATATTGAAAATAGGCCGTTTCTTGCTCGACTAAACCCATGTAAGCCCTTAACCTGATCTTGTCATTGGGCTAATTGGGTTGGAAGACTGCTTAATTTTCTAGTCAAAATAGGACGATTATTTTTTGTGCTGGAACTCAAACGAATCCTATTAAGCTCAAAAGGGTATTTCCTGACAAAATTTAAATAAATAATATAGGGAATAAATAGTAAAGGGAACAATATACGATTATAAAGGGAAATTTTATTGCCAGAATATATTCGGTTAAATATTAATAAGTCCGCTCGATTCAAAATAGACTCCTCAAATATTATTTAAATTGACCCATATTCCGTAATGGGAATCAATATTCAGACTTTGTCAGTATTTACTTACTGTGCAGGTAAAGCCATCTATGGAAACAACAAAAGTCGAAACAATAAAGGCGCAAAAGCAAGTGCACAGCTTAACATATAAGCATACATATCTTAATCCAACAAGTTTCTGTCGTCAACAAGTAATAACAACCAGCAAAACATCAGTTATCGCATATTGATTTTTCCCTACCGCTTTGCAGTTAGCGGTATTTGTATGAGCGCGACCTAAATTCCATAAATAAACGTATGTTGCACTTGTATGCTTATCGGGTTGGATCTCAAAGCAATTATTTGTTGTTTCCTTTTTTTGCTTTGTACAATTTCATTATTCAATACAGATTTTTTTGGAATGTCAATATGAAAAAGTACGTGAGGAAATAGAGGAATCTAAGCAAAGTTAAATATATCTACGAGCACATATGTATGTATTGTATGTTATATACAGGGGTATATAATGTAGTTAAGGTATTGTATATATTATTTATTAGCAATCCAACTGTTCTGGATTCTTATATAATATAGCCCTTCTATCCATATATCTTGACAACAATCATCTATCCATATATCTTGACAACAATCATTTATAATCAAAGTGCAGTTATTTATTATCAGCCATCTCACTTCACTCTCATCAAATTTAATTAATGTGCTAATGCTTCAACCGTTCACATCTGGCAGCCGCTGCATACACTAGCTAACTACCAGCCAAAAACACACTGATTGATTTGTGACGATCACAGTCGCCCTGCTCGTGCCTACATAATTGGTATACGTCTAAACGCTGTCCCGTTATTTATACGCACATCAGTAATGTGGATATAGATTAGTATTCAATAAATACCCAAGTGGAATAGGGTGTCAAACTGCTGATTAAATTCGTCACTTTCAAGTGTTTCAGAGACATTACTAAGAGTATTTTTTGAAAGTATTGTATGATATATATGATATAAATATATCACAGCTGTTTAGATATGAACAAATAAAAAATCCGTCCCAATAATGACATATGGTCTCTAAATAAATACTAATCGCTATTAATAGATAATAATAGATTAATAAAGAAAAGCTATAAATTATATGGTATGTTAAGATCCAATTCGCTTCAACGACTAAATAAAATTGTATGAGAAAATGAACTTAGTGATCACAAGAAGGAAGGAAGTTAGATTTTTATTCACGACGCATCAATTTGATCATATAGTGGACTTCTTCTACGTCGAATAACATAAGATTACTTCGAGCAGATCTTACTTCGAGCAGATCTATACTTCGAGCAGATCTATAAATCTAGCTCACAGAACAAACCATTAACTAATCAAAACAGCCTAAATTATAACATGCAATTAAAACGTGATTGCGAAAGAATACGATATTGCCGAATTAAGAATAATGTGGGATAATATTTAAGAAGATATCTTGCATTAATTCTGAAACCAAAGCTATATGGAGGAAAATGATGTGGAATTATCTAAGCATTTGCTATTGTTTCACACCTGCGGCGCAACAATTGAAGTGGCTGGGATTGATATTAACCACCTTAACAAATTGTGGTAAACTCAAAATGCTTCGTCGATCTATGAGGAACTGGTCATCCATTTTTAGGAGTTTTTTCATCAGAGGACTAACGTTCCCATCTATTTAAGTGAGATCCGTTGCTATCTTTGGCCCGAGGACCTAACCTAACCTAATACTGAAGTCTCGTTTGAGTTTGAATTTTAACTTGAAAAACTTTGGACCGTCCAACCAAAAAATGGTTGTAACCAACCGATTTGATTATTATTGGCATATCTATATCCCAAACATAGTTTATTAAATTAACCACGAAGTTTTTGGCAACCAGAATCAAACGTCGGAGACCTTATAATATATATTATATATATAAATGATCAGAATAACAAGCTGTATCGTCTGTATATCATATATTCAAACTTGTCCCTCGGTTTTTGAGATATCGGTCTGAAATTTTGCATACTCCTTTTCCTTGTCAAGAATCTGCTCATTCGTGGGAACCTTCGATATCGGACCATTTTAGCATATAGCTGCTATACAAACATAACGATCGAAATCAAGTGTTTGTATGAAAAACTTTTTTAGTTCTTGTATGGGATCTTGTGTTTTTGTGAAGAGTATTATAGCTTCAGTGCAACCGTGGTTAGCGTTTTTCCTTCCTATTTTTGTTGTCATTTAGAATGGTATTTATTTAGTATTTTCTAAGTATTTGTTATATCTATAGATTCTGGCATCATTCCACTATTCATATAATTATTCTTCTAAAGGGAACAGAGGCGACTTGAATAAATCAGATATCATAACATGCAGTCCAGGCATTCCAGAGCTATAATTGGTGTAAATAATGTGTCGTAGTTTTATTTATACAGTTTCTAAATAGTTGAAACCCCCAACGAGACTTCCTGCCAACTATTAATTTGTAAATCATTATGCTTGTAAAAATATATGTGAATATACCATATGTAATTCAATTATGAAACTCTTTGTTTCTTTCTTTTTTAAATTCCAGGTTTTTGTTCACGCAAAAGTCTTCTTCAGCATTGGCGGTCGACAATATGCTGGTGAACCTGTACAATTCTCCTACATGCCTGATACTATTCTGGATCATGCACGTGATGTGACAATCAAACTTCATCATCGCCTTGGCAAATATTTACAGTTGCATTTATACTTCGCGGCACGTTGGATAATGCTAAGTGAAATCACATTCATATCGAGTAAGTATAGAATTTTCGGAATTTGTTAATATTGGCTATCTATTATTCGATGTGCGAAATTTCGAACATTGTTTCTAACTCAAGGTATACACTGTTCGAAAGCAATCAACTGATACATTAACGAACATTCAGGGTTACCAATATGATAAACCGATTGTTGCGATATACTGGAAAACCATTTTATAAACTTTTTTTTTCCGAATATAGAAAATATTTTATTTAAGAGAATCCACTCATCTCTTACTTTGTTGAGAACTTTTATATACAGAGAAAGTTATATATACATTTTTTTTCTCGAATTTCAGTATTCTTATATTTTTTTGCTATGCTCAGTGAAATCTACTGTAATACGTTCATGAAGTTGCTGCCACTCATACTACTTTTGACAGTTTCTTGGTCGTAGGCCCATGATTGTAGGCGCATTGACATACGCACGAACTCCACTTAATTTGATAGCACTGCAAGTAGGTCAAAGGAAAGAAAAAATATTTAAATAGGCAATTTGCAAATATTATTTTCGAAAATTAATGAAAAATTTAACCGAAATATAAAATATAAAAAATCATGAACATCTTGAATATACATATAGGTATGTAAATATGAAAACTTCTTACGGTAATTGATTGAAAACACTGCTCTCTTCTCCATGGTACAGTTTGAAAACAATAAAAATCGGTTGATCACCACGCCCACCTTGCAAATGACGGTAGTATTCAAAGCTACTAATGTACCGCCTGAAGAATAACCTCAAAAGTGTCAAATTTAACTCGGACATAAGGCCGCTCGACTATATATCAATTATATCGGTAACGAATACGCTTTCGAAATATTTCATTGTAAAAATCTATGGACATTTTAAAATATTTAATATTTATCTAATATCTGGCAGCATCCAAACTTTTTCTTTTTTTATGCTCCCGCATGAACCTAAGGGTTGTTTGTGTTACCTAAAACTGATCGAGATAGATATAGAGCTATATATATATATATATATATATATATATAAATAATCAGGATAACGAGGCGAGTTGAAATATGGTTGACTATCTGACCATCTGTCTAGTAGAGGGGATTGCAGTTGTGGGGTGTAACTGTGGACTGAATCTTTTTAAAACTGGGAGTGGTCCAACCTCCTACTAAGCTACTACTATGAGTACTAACAAACAGCTAGAGCTATTTGAACCTTCTCAGTCAATGTCAAAATGGGTGAAGTCGGATAATAAGCCTGCCTATTCCGAAAATAACGGTTATTTTGGAAACTACTAAAAGTGCAATGACTCATTAAGTAATTTGAGAAACATTAAATTTCAAATCTTCCATGAACCGAAAAGGTATCGTAGAAAGTAGTGTCAACGGGCATGGCATCGCCTACCTTTAAGTGAAATCTTAAATCTTAGAAACTACTAAACCATTTTTAACCGAATTTGGTGTGTAACAAAGTTTGGCATTCTTACAGTGTGAAAATGAAAATATAACCACGCCTAATTCAATATATTATACAACAATTGTAAATTTATTATGATTCTTTCATTTATATAATGTATTTAAAGCCAGAGCCAACGATGTTAACTAAATAACCTTTGAGGTATGCCATCCGAATATTCTTGAAATCGGACCATAAATTTTCAAGTTCCAGATATCGAATATGTGGACCTCAGGACCTATGTCTGACTTTATATTAAAAATATCGGTCTATCTGTTAGACATACTAAGGAAATTCAGAGAGCAAATTTTTTGGTAGTAATGTGCTTTCTTTTTAGAACGGGTAAAAGCGAGTCAATACTTCTAGTCCCCACATATCTTATATAAAAATTTTGGAACTGCGGGTTGACCTTATACTGTATATATGTGATTATCTTATTGAAATTCAAGCGCATTCTATCTATGATAGTTGTCCATCCAAAGATGATTTCCAAGCATCAATAATTTCATCAAACAATGAATGTTCAACTATCTCCTAAACCGCTTAATAAAAAAAGTCAGTGGGAACAAGTGTTTTTAGCACCTGAAATCGGGTGACCACCCTGCCCACTCCCCATATAACGGTACTGTTAAAAACTACTAAAAGCGCTATAAATGAAGCACTAAACACGCTAGAGATATTAAATTGTATCTCTGGGATGGTATGAGATGACTTTATAGGATCCGCTTTCAGGTGAGACCCCATATCTTGAGATCTGCTTAACCGATTTCAACTAAATTCGGTACATACCATTCTTCTCATATTTCTATGTTATAGGGCGAAATCGGATTACAACCACGCGTTGTTCCCCATATAACACCATTTCAAATTCCATCTGATTCTTTCACATTCCACTATGCAAATCAAGCAACAATGATTGTATCGGGTAAAACTTTGCGTGAATAACGCATTTAAAGTATGCCACCTTGTGACCAAAAATTGTCAAAATCGAACCAAAACTGTTCAAGCCACTAGGTACTGACTGTCTACCGAAAATATTGGTCAATGTAATAATTAATAAAATAAATGAAACTCTCTATAAAAGTATGTTTTTGTGTCAAAAATGGGTTGAATCGGATCAATACTTTCTTCATTATAAAATTTTGCCAACACCTAAAGTAATTTCCTGGGTTTTGATCCATGCAAGTTGCGATAGTATAAAATATTCGGTTACATGCGAACTTAGAACTTTCTTACTTGTTTAATATAAAGTTTTGCGAACACCTGAAGGAATTTCAGGCTTTGATCTTCGAAAATTGGGGGAGCATAAAATGTTCGGTTACCCTCCCTTATTTGTTTAATTTGTTTTGTCTACTCACCTCTTACATCTCTCCGAATACCACCAGCCCATACCGAGCACCTGTGCACATTTATCATACTGAAAGCCGTTACCCATATCTCGTGTAGAGAATTTCGAAAATCGCATTAGACGACTTATAGCAGATGTTCTCGAAAATGCGCCCAACTCCTCCACTCTATAGCCCGTTTCTTCATTGCCCAATACAAAGTATGCATATTTTTCCACTTCGATATCGTTTGTTTCAAATTTCGTAAATATACCCAATTCTTGTTTTGTTTCGGTTGTTTGCGCATATATACGATCGAGTCCGAGAAAGAAACTTTCATTTGGCTCGCCGAAACCAAATTTGTATTCTGCAAAATTTTTATCAAATGAATCACCAGTATTTATGCGACGCATAAAGACAGTCCATGCACAACCCGAACCCACAGGATCTGCAAAGCAGTATACTTCGGTTGGTCCATAACCCAAAACGTATATAGAATGTACACCATTAGTAGCGCCAATATTTTGCTTCATAATCTCGGCACAACTACTGGGTAAAAAGCTATCATCAACACTACGATGTGCGGCAGGTGCATAATTTAGATTATATGCGTCGGTTTCGAAGTTCATCGTTTTCTCTTTGCCTTCTGTGAATAAATTGATTCATTAAAAAGTATACACATATAGTTTAAATAATCTTATTTGCATAAATTCACTACCTTCACTACCAAATTGTTGGCTATTGGTGTAAGTTGTTGTGTTATAAGTTTTTGAAATTTCCGGTCGCTTCGTTTGATCGCGATAATATATAAAGTTCTTCTCCGTAGCTGTTATCCATTTATTATCTTTCAATACAGATTTGGTTTTTATTACCGTTGTCAATACTGGTCCAGCGAGTGATCCACTTTTGGCGAGCAAAAACGATTATAAACGTTAATGTTATACAAGTGTAAATTTAAAATAATTTACCTTAATAAATTATTAAAATTTCTCTTAAAGTCACCAAGTTCATTAGCCCCAATAACAATTGTAGTAATACGTGAAGAATTCTTGATATCTGGAATTCTTTAAAAGTACATGGAAACGTTAGCTTGTTCGCGGAAATTTATTGTAAATGTAACGATTATGTTTTTAGACATGTGGTTTTCAAGACAAAACAAAACACATATAATTTAATGTTATGACCAAGAATTTAACTTAATAATAAAGATCAGGGTTGGCCATAATGTTCTAAAAATTATTTCGGGCAAGTGACCGCCACGGCAGGCTCGAATAAATTCCAGCCGAGTGGCTTAATTTTCGACCACTTTTTGCTGCAATCGCGGTCGCATGTCAGCAATAAAACGCCGAATATTCTCCTCCTAAAGCATCAATCGCTTCGGGGTCGTCTGAGTAGACAAGCGACTTCACATAACCCGACAAAAAATTGACCAGCGGTGGTAAATTGCACGATCTTGGAGGCTCTTTCAATAAATTGATTGCTTTGTTGGCTGTATGGCATGTAGCGCCGTGTTGTTGGAACCAAAGGTCGTCTACATCAACATCCTCCAACTCTGGCACGAAAAGTCATAAATCATGGCTCTATAGCATTCCCCATTGACTGTAACATTATGGCCGGCCTAATTTTAGAAGATATATGGACCATTGATTCCCTCTGCCCACAGAGCACATCAAAAAGTGAGCTATTGAGAATGTAAGGGCCTCTGAACAATGGCTTGTGGATTATCATCACTCGAAATGCGAAAATTTTGTTTATTAACATATCCATTCAATTAGCTTCATCGCGGAACAAAGTTTTTTGTGAAAATCGGGATCGGTGTGCATTTAGATTTGAGCCCATTCACCGAACTAGAGCGGCGCGTTATAGTCGTTCGGCTTCAATTTTGACACGAAATGGATTTTGTAAGCCTGCAAACCAAGAGCCTTCCGAAATTCTGCAATAACAGCTGTCAAAAAGATCAACGCCAAAAAAGAGTATTGCCATATTGAAAACCATACATCTAAAAAAACAAACATCCTCTATAAACAATTACCCGGATAATTGCCTACGCGTAAATTTGCTCCTCAACTCTCCCATTCTGTTAATTTTTTCTTTGTCGCTCACATTGCTTTTGTCTTCAATTCCATTTTCATCAACTTTTAAATTAACATTTTTGTCTTTGATTTCCCTTTTCTCAATACCAGGGTCATCTGCCATGCTTTCGATATCACTTTTAGACTTTCTGATTCCTGTCTTCTCTTCAGTTTTTTCAGCATTTGAGTTAATATCTGAATCGTCAATCTCCATATATGTACTACTTTCAACTGCTCCATTTTTTAGTTCACTTGATCTAAAAATTTTAAAGACAGCACATAAGAGTCAATTTATAATTTCTAATAATAAATTTATTGAAACTTACTTTTTGTTTCCATTCCCGACTTCAGTTGTATTATCGATTAATTTTGTTAAATTTGAAATAGTTTCTTTGCTATAAAAGTTTGAAAAGAAAAGTTCAAATATAAATATACTTGTATTTTATTATTTAACATAATAGTCTTTAATTTAAGTTCGCTTTAAAAACTTACCTCGTCGAAATTTTTTGTACAAAATTGTTTAAAATATCATCCGTTTTTTTGCTGTCTGTATTAGATATTATACTTTCTTTATTAATGGTCTGTGTATTCAGTTTCGCAACGCTACTTGCGTTCTTCCTTAAAGTGGACGATTATATTCTTGAGTATGTATGTAAATAATAATGCTAATATATTCTAATATGTTACCTCGATAAAAGCCTGTCCCTCAAAGCGCGCCGATTATCTGTTGAAATATTACTAGTATTAGTGACATTTGCCGTTTCCACGTACTCAAGGATTAACAATATAGCATGTAAAACCAAGTTGCTGACAGTTTGAGAAAGCTTCATGTTGCCGATGTGCCTTCTAAGACTCAACTGAAACTCGAGAACTCAAATACTTTAACTAAGTATATTACAACAAAAAAAAAATATCCGCAAGTGTTTGCTAATTTTTAATCGATCAATGGATTATTGGCGTAGCTATACAAATGTTTTTACACGCTCTCAATACCCACAGACTTGTGATCCTATTGCCCAAGTCTGATATATAATAATTTATATAATACATGAAACAATTTTGCGTAATATCGCGATCGATAAACTACAACTCAAACAAAAAAAAACGATCTTCGAGGCATTGGCGGAAATACTATAATGGCTTAGATGATTACAGATAGATCAAACCGTACGAAATCTTTTAATAAAAAGTCACTATGGTTTTATTTACTAGGAGATACAAGATACCGAAGGCACCACAGGCACGGATGGGATGTATCCCCCTGCAACCTGCAGATACAGTAAAGTTTCCTAATAGGAAGCTTTCATGGAAACCTAATATTGAGAAGATAGCAAGGATAGCATTGATTGCTTTGTTCTACTTTAGAGAAGCCATTGGCAAAAGTTGGGGTCTCTTATCGAAAGTAGTTCTTTGGCTCGACGACACAATGGTCAATCTCATTAGTCTAAGGGGCCTTTGTGTGAAGGAGCGACGCTCGTCAGTGCACTAAGGTCCACTCCAATCATTGCACCCTACGCTATTCGGCACACAACATAGTGTCCGTAATTATCGCCGGAAGGTATATGGCCGCGAAAGTTGCTATCAGACTCGAAGATTCTGGGTGTCTAAATGAGCGTGTGTCTGAAAACTCGTTTGATGTTTGTTTGGATAATGGAGTCGCCAAACCAAATTCTAACGGCTGTTGTGGATAGGTAAAAACCGTTGGTGGACAGAGGTAGTGAGCTTCTTTACGAATGGGTCAAAGCTTGGAGTAAAGGTTGGTAGAAAGGTATATTGTCAGGTACTTCTCGATCAACTTCAGTTTCAGGCTTCCTGTCATCTTTACAGCGAATCACAGGGAACTGTAAACTTAACGAGCTGCCAAGGAAAGACATCCTAACCCCGCTATCCGTAGAATGGGAACCGGTCGGTGCTTTACTCTCCTTGTGTGTTTCACTAATAGATAGCTCGGCTTCGCGGTAGCTTAACCAGGGGTGGGTTACCATCGATTCATGCGAGGTCGCAAAATCCCTTTGGCCTAAGATCGATCGCAAGAGATCCAGTGAGCTCTTTGCCCGGAATAAAATTAACCTCTCTCTCTGAATAATAGATCAGTATATAATATAACACATTTTGATTGAACCAATTCTGTTCAAATGACCAATAACTTCGAGATATATATTCGATATCCAATTAAGAAACACTAGAACATTTTAGCTATTTTTTTCATCTTCTCAACGTTCGAAGTTCAACATGTTTCAGTATAAAAATTTAAGAGGTAATAAAGCGATGCAGTTGCAAGTTGAGAAATATTTTTCTAGAGGGCTTAGGGAACACAGGTATATATTATATAATATAAGAAAAATTGTATTGAAATTACTTGTTATTATTAAAAAGTGCTGTAATATACATATATAATATACTTACCTAAATTAGAGATTAATAATCCATAATTATATGCAAATATGTGCAGCTGATTTCTGAATCCGAACTACGCTTTTTTGTCATATAAGCCCAACAGTTCAGACTCTCTCTATCAGTATTCATAAAACTATCGTCTTAAAATGCGTAACCTTCAACGGAGTTTCGTGGCAGCCGTGACGTTCTCATTTATTATTTTCACTAATGTATTTTTCGCTGACAACAAGCGAAGCTCCGCCGAAAGTCAAACAGATACGCTGGACACTTTGCTAACCATGCTCACTGAATATGTGCTAAATCGCACAACGGAAGTAAATACGCGTATCGGGAAGTAATATATTAAATTCATATTTTTCGACCTTTGATTTTCGCAATAAAATATATATTTTCTACAGGAATGAGCAAAGAATAAATCTACTGCTACAAAAACAGGCTGAATTAGAAAGCAAATTTAAAGAGTGAGAATAGTTATATATATGTATACAAAACTATATCTTATTTATTGAACCATCGTAGACATCACTCAATCGCCGAAAAACCTAGTTCAATCTTAAACGATGAAATCAGCAACGGTTATGAATCGGCACGCAGCTGTGCGGACATTTTACCGAATAGGTTTGCGGGCGATAGCGGCATCTATAGTATAACGCCACTGAATATGACAGCATTCGATGTGTACTGTCTATCCGATCCCAGCAGTGGTTGTGGTTGGACGCTTGTTTGGCGACGTAATGAAATTAACGATGAATTCAATCGCACATGGACGGAATACCAAAATGGTTTCGGCGCATTAACGGATAATTACTTTATTGGCCTAGACAAGTTATACGTTTTGACTAATGCCGAGCCACAACATTTACGCATCGGCACTAAATACGGACAAAATAATTGGGATTTTGAGATGTTTGAGGAATTTGTCATCGGCAGTGTACATACACAATACGAGGTATTCGTCAAGAATGATAACACCAAAAGTAATATTTTTCAACGTTTGGGCCATCAAACCCATTTCTTTACTAAAGATTTGGAAAGCTCTTGGGGGAATGAAGAGTGTGCAAAAGTAATGGGTATAGGTTGGTGGTACAACGATGACTGCAAAAAGTAAGCAACTACACTTTAGTTTGGAATTTCATTGCTAATATTTAACCTATTTTTAGTTATTTAAAGTCCCGTCTCTACTATATGTATATGAATTCACCGACTTACATGGTTATTCGCCCGAAAAGTTGCGATAGTAAAAGCCGACGAACTCAAAATATATAAAATTTTACGAATAATTAATTTAAAAAGATTTAGAAAAGTATTATCGATTCATGTAAATATAACTGACATTGTGGTAGTGGCTGAGTCCGTTATGCGAGTGTTCAAAAGAACGCGCGTTCGAAATAATAACTTTTTGTTTTTCTTTAACCAAAATAGAGACTTTTATTTAATAAAATAGATTGGGCCTTGGTTAATGTTTTTCATTACATTAAACTTTTTTTGTATTACTAAAAATGTAAAAATATTGTATATATAGAAAAACTTAACTGTCCTGAAGGTAGGTAGGTAGGAATTGCACTTGAAAGCCATAAAAATTTAACTTATGTATTCCATCTTATACGTAATTTCTATTGCCCAACCGCTCAGTGAGATATCTGAATGTATGAGTTTCCAAGTATTTAGTCTTTGATCATACAAATGCGGGCAAACCACAAGGAAGTTTTGAGATATTTCCACCTCGTCTTCTTCCATACAGCTTTCGCAGCTAGCATACAGTAATATTCTCAACCTCACTGGCTGGACGCTGATAGGGCAAAGACCTGTTAGAACCGTTACAACTAAGGAGAACCTAGTGTAACTAATAGCAAAGAGCTCTCTGGATCTCTTGACATCGGTCTTGTGCCAAAAGTATCTTGCGATAGCCCAAGAAGTAATGGTAACCCAGCGCTGGCCAAATTTCCACAAAGCCCAGCTATCCAGTAGTAGACCACATGAGTAGAGGAGAGCAACATTCTACGGATAGCGGGCTACGATACATTTCCTTGCCTTACTTTAACGTAAGTCTTTGATGAAGGATAATTGGATGTTTTAAAAAAGAAAGCTTTTGTAAAGCGTTTTCCCTTCAATTTACTGATTGTTTCTTTGGCTATATGTAACGAAAAAGTTATTAATCATGGCTCTAAAGCTTTCCTCTGCTTAATTTGTGATGGAACATAGACCAATGATTCCCGCTCCTCATAGAGTACACCAAACAGTATCTTTTTAAGGATGTAACGGCGCCTTTCAACCAAAAGTGAGTATTATCGCTGAACAAAGCTTGTTTGTGAAAATCGGTATCGGTAGCCATCTCGTTTTGGGCCTATTCAACGAACGTGAGATGCACTCGATTGTCGTTCGACTTCAATTCTGGCACGAGTTGGATTTTGTAAGCCCGTACACCAAGATCCTTTCAAAAAATCTTCCATTAAGTGGATGGGCACAGCTTTAATTATTGCGCACGAGGGCGGATGAACTCATTAGAGTCTTTTTCGATACTCGACTCCACAGCAGCAATAGCGTCTTCAGTGCGCACCGAAGAAGTCATCTCTAAGAATGCGTATTATTCAGTGAAATAAACGTAGTGCGAAACCTATCCATGGTTGCTAGAATTATCGACTGCGCTGAGCGATTATAACGGCCGAATATTGGACGCAGAGCGAGATGGGTCGCGCGGACTATTATTTTAGTAATAAATTGGCACAATTCGCAAATTTTTTTCCATAGTAAGTCTGTTCACTATTAAATGGCGAATCGAACTGAGTATAAACCAAGTTACTAGATCTAGAATATATTTCAAGATTGCATTCTGATGGAGCATTAAAGCAAGAAGGAACCAATTCTGGGATATACATATAGATATATATTTATTTTCTAACATTCATATCAATATTTTTTTTATACTATTCCTAACATTCTTTCACTCTAAAAAGCTTTACTTTCGCAATTATTTGGTCTCACTGCAATAATGGTTGGAGCTTTTACATATGCCCGAACGCTACGCAGCATCGTAGACCTACGATGTTATCAAAAAAAAAAAAAAAAGATGAATAAGTATATATAAAAATGTATATACAAACTAAGTATGCTTACTGCAAACATTTCTCCGAATACCACCAACCAATGCCCAAAGTCCTCGCGCATGCAGCTAACCGTTTATCGAACTGGCGATCTTTTGTGCTGAATTTCGAAGCGATTTGTAAGTGTCTAATCATCGTATTGTTGGTAACCACGCTCAAGCTTAACACCGCATAATCGACGCTCTCGTCGCCAATACGGAAATTCGCATAGATCTCCTTAACTAAGTCTTCTCCTTCGAAGCGCTTGGAAATGTATAATTCTTGCATTTGATATTGTGTAAGTGCGTACAAGTTCTGGAGACCCACAAAGTAGCCATTCCCTATGGTTGGATCACCGAAACCTGTACGATAATTCTGCCAGGCAAAATCAAAATTATCTCTTTGAGACTTACGCTCCAAAATAACTGCCCACGAACATTTGCCCCACGCATCATTTATGCAACGTACATTAAATGATGGCCAATTGGGTAACGTTAGCGTTTGTATTGAGTCACTATTCGCTACACATCTGCCCGTTTCTGCTTCAATGGTTCTATGAACTGCTTTCGTTGAAAGTATTGGTACAGCTGAATCCATATGTGTATATGTTTCCTCTAGACCTGAACTACGTAAATCGGTTTGTGTACTCCCAATTGACACGCGCTCATTTACACTTCTATTGTTTCTATATATACCCTGATCGAAATTGCCTGTCTGCACATACGTACTCCCACTTGAAGTCTGTTCTTTAGAACCTCTGTAATTTCTGAGCGTATTTTTAAATTTATTGTTCAAAATTTTTTCACCAATCGTATCTCCGATGTGAGTTTCTTCCACGGTGGTGGTAATTGATACTGTATTGCCATCATTTGTTCGTATCTCTTCTACGGTCACGTTAGTTGTGTTAGTGATTTCCCTTGCATTTTGTGTGCTACAACCAAATATATAGGTGTAAAATACCAAAATTACTAAGGTAGAACGCGTAGACATTTCGTTCGTACGTCTCAGAGCAGACTGCGAAAAGTTGGCGAACGTAAACAAATATGTATAGTAAAGTAGCTGCTGGCAAACTTTAACTCGTTTACTCATGATAACAATTTATAAAATATGACTCAGTGGAGCTGTTTCGGAGCCTTCGGTCTGTTCGAAATTTCACACACTGTCACAATTTAAAAATTTAGACATGATTAATTTTAAGAATACGGATTAGTAAGTGTTTTGTTTGCATCGGCTTGAAAGTCTCTCAAAATTTTTATGGAATCCTACTCGACCTCAACCATCTCGTTACCCGATGTCAAGTGGTCCACAGCATCGGCAACATACTTGCAGATCATGATTTTCATCTTCGTGCATTCATAATTTATTATATTATTTATTCATAATAAATTATATATTATAATTAAAAATTATTTACTTTGATACAAAGCTTTAGATGTTCAAGGCATTTGGGGTATTTCCCACATTCGACGCAGAAAAGGTTTCATGCTGTCACACCTATTTTGTTCTTAGTATCGCAAAGTCTCGCACAAAAAATCAGACCCTTTATATTTCATATGCCATTCATGAGTAGATACTTTAACCTACATACATGACTTAAATAATTGTTTAATATTAAGGGAGCTCATATTATAATCATATTCCATGATAAGAACTAACAAAGTCAAAACAAATTGTAATCTAATACATATTGTATTATTCCACACATAATTTAGTATCAGTTTCCTAACGATCCTCTTCTTTATATTAATATATTACTTCGGCGAAGTATAAGTACGACCAAATAACCAGGAAATTTTAGTTGTCAATATATAAAATAATGATCTTTAACATAATTAAAGTAGATATGTCTACTGTCGCAAAAGAATGCCTCTTCTATTGAGAAAACATGTTCAATATTTGTAGGATTTCTATTGTATGCTTCAAAAATTGTTGCAAAGTGTTATTATTCATTGCTCAAGCGAGTGTAAAATTACTGCATGCAATAACAACTGGAAGTTGTTAAAAAAATCTATTGCCCATGTATATGCATTTATTGCTAATCTTAAATGAAAATATAATCTCAAATTACATTTTTTATCGGACGAAATACTTTGCGGTAGCGGTATTTCTAGAACGGAAACACATGAGCTTGGTAAGGTGTCAGCTATGAGTGCTTAAATGAAACGTAATTCGCCTCAATGAGGCACCTTAGACAAAACTTTCAGAACTTGAGACTTATAATAAGAAATGTATGATTAATTGGTGGCTAGGGTAGCGGGGTGACATAATTGCATTAGTAAAATGTAGTGAAGGAGAAATTGGTATTTAGAAAATATTAATTTTTAAATCTATTTCTTTCTGGCATCACGGTTTTCGGCAAAATGAGGAAATATTGTTTCTAGCGTTATACTTTGGACCGCACAAATCATGTGAATGGTCATAGAACTAATCAAAATGGAGTAGATGGAAACTACTAATCAGAATGGAGTAGATGGAAACTACTAATCAGAATGGAGTAGTTTTTGGGGACAGTATCGATCAAAAAAATTAAGAAGTGTTTGTAAACTTAAAGACTTTTAAAAAATTTAGTACTTTAGAGAAGAGCAAACACGAAATTCCAGATTTTGCGTCGTCATAACAAATGGTAGCAGGCTATCAATAGGAAAGAAAGCAATCATATAAACCAAACTTCGACGCTAGGATATAGAAATCAGCTATATCATACTATACTCGTAAAATCATGGTGCCAAGAGGTGGAAAAGTAGAGACTGTAGAATATATGCTATGTAAATGCAAGGCTTTGTATTGGTAATTAATCGCAGCTACCGGTCAGGGGTTTCTTGGCGATGTCTCGAAAACTTTTTGAATTGATGAACTTCAGCAGGAACATAGGGTGTTTCAGAGATGACAGAGTTTCACAATGGGCTTCCCAAAGTCCTAGATGCGTCGAGGACATCCACCCTACCTACCTAGAGTTGAGAAAACTTTGAAAAAGAGCTGAACAAACTTGATTCTGAAAGCACTGGATTCGTACAGATGTTTTGCAAAGTTCTCTTCATTTTCTTAATTAGCTGTCACAAAATCAAAGACATAAGAAAGATTATAAATAATAATAATGTTTTTGAATAGCGAGATCCACAATGAAGTCTTTACAAAATAAAATTCAAAGTTTTTAAATGAAAATAAAGCGATAACTGGCTGAGGAAACATTAGAAATACTAACTTTTACCAGAATATTTTATTTAATACATATACATAAATGAGGTTCCAAATTCACATTAAATTTCCAGTTAGCTATAAAATATATATAAATAAGGTATTACATTGGAATGGATCTTTTAGAAGCATAAGTACGGCCAAGTTGGGTTAGGTAAGTTAGTACAACTGAACCTCGCACGAAAGCTAATGAATTATCCCACTTGGATAGCGGTAAATGGTCGTCTTTTGCCATGCCAAAAACTCCAAGATATGTATCAAAACATCCTCATATATCGACGAAGCGATTTAAGCCTATCAAATATTTATTAAAGTGGTTGGTTCATCAGCCAATTTACTAGGTTCATTGAAAGGATGTCTACTGAGATATTTCAACCTCTGTCAGGCAAAAGCTGGACAGTAGAGTAGAAAATAACTAGATGAATCCGCCTCGAGCTACTCCATACATATTTGGCATAGACATAGATATACCCATAACAGAGAAATTTCTTATTATAGCTGCAGCTGTATACTCTAAGAAACGCACGGAAATAAAAATAAATAAATTACTTGATATTTTTCCTGAAAAATTATATTTAGCTAGTGAATATTTATTGCTAGTACTGATATAAGTTCGTAAAAATTCCAACCCTTTGCTTTTATGAACTTTTAACAATCAAAATAAATTAACCGCACCAACAAGCCTAACACCCTTTATTGTTGTAAGTACACCTTTACAATGGGTTAATGAGTTGAATTTCAATTGTAATACACCACTTTACTGACGAATGCAAAATTTAGCAATTCTGCAAGTGCACATTGGCATTAAACTACAATACAATGCGAAAGTGCTTCGCTGGGCATTAAGAGCTCAAGGCTGTCAATATATATATAATGCGCATGCAACTCTGTACTAAGAGCACATACAAAAATACTTTTCTCTTTTATGCACTTTCTCTGTTTGCGCAATCACCTACTGCATTATGTTTATTCGGAATTGTGTTGTGTTTGTTTTTTTTTTTTTGTTATTTTCTCATGTTTTTGTTATTGTTGCATAGCATTGTGCTCATTTCGATTGATCTGATTTTAATTGCAAAATTTACGCCTTTCACAAAGGCATTGCAATGTCTAGCATACCTATTATTATATACAAGTATATTAGGGTAAGCTAAAAAAAAAATAAAATGGAATTTTAGGGGAAAATTAATCTGTATATACAGAAAAAAAATCCTTGCCAGAAAAATTTCTTAGGTTAATTTTAAGTGGTGAGGTTTTTAACCAGATGTAAAAAAAGCAGATTTGAATCGTTTAGTGTGGTCTTTTTTTTACATTTTCTGTGAAAGCTTGCCTTAAAAATGTATATAATTTTTACACCATTGAAATAATACAGTATGTTTGCGACATAAGAAAGAAAGTTTGACATTATTTCATAAAATAAATATAATTTATGTTCAAGATAAAAATTAAAAAACTCAAAAACTTAGTTATTTCAATTTTTCACATGAATTTAGAAGTTATTTCGAAAAGGTGTGGATACAAAAATTGCAGATGTTTGCATTATCTACCACTTTGCCATATATATATTTTTTTCCTATAGAACTCTTAGTTTTGCTGGAAATAAAGATAAAACGTTTTTTACCTTTAAAATTCAAATACGCCCCTCCCCTTCCTCTGCCCGACTGCAGATCGGCCGTAAATTATTTTTCCTTTCAGTTTTGTTATTTTATCTTTCATTTCCAATGGACTTCAACCTAATATGAATTTTTTTCACTTGTTATCATTTGCAAAGACCTCTGCACTTTTCTATCGGAAACAAAACTTGACACGATGTGCTTAAAAGATATCAGATATTTTAATACAAAAAGATCGTTAATAGTGAGTCAGAATATTGGACGGAAATTGATATACACAAATAGGGAATCTTTTTTCGGAAATGAATATTGGTAGTTAGGAGTGCAGCGCCCCGGGTTCAATCAGCGCTGGATGCGCCATGTTGATGCAACATCGTAAGACCATTCTTAAATATCAATAATCTTGTTATCTCGTTTCATCGTTGCGCTCAAACCATTTGGTACTTTCAATGGAACTACTGATGGGTTCCAAGTATTCTACTTATGTGGGGTTTGTAATATAGTCGGGCAATCACAGAGCACATGGAAAACAGTTTGCTTATTCTCTTCCAGCTTGCATATGCGGCAAATAATGTTATAAGGCAGATCCATATTTAGCGGATGTTCACAAAATGGAAAATGCTCCGTAGTTGAAAGCGAGATATAAATCCTTCTACCTAATAATAAAGAAAAACTAGAAAACTGTTAGGCGGAGGATCCTTCCCTTACAATTAAGAGTTCAGTACTTGGAGACTTTTTGTAGAGGTGTCTATCAACCAATTTTTCCGAGTACGAAGCGAAAAAAAAACATTCCAATTTTTGGCCCACCCTAATGTATAAACTCAAACATTCATAGATGTATACAGTTAGTTTTAGTATGCACATTGCCTGCAATTGCGAGCATAGAAAGTAATGAAATCTGTAATAAAGTGAGCGAAAGTATAGCAAAAGGAGGAAAACAAAGATTTTTGTTAATAAAACGAAATTGAATATGCATGCAGACATGTATGTATGTATGTATTAGTACATAGCGAAGAAAGACTGCATTTCAATTAGAACGGATTAAGTGAGGCTTAAAAGCGAGTGTGCATTGTATTTGCACACTTATATGCATACATAAAAACATATATACGTATACACCGAAATGCATAGAAAGTTTTACAAATGCCAAATTCACTGCATACAATGCACAGTGCTGCACAAAATATGAAAAATCAACAAATATCAGAAATTCAATCTCGAAAGAGCATTGCGGAATAGTTGGCTGGGAAATTCTTCATGCTATTTTTTCTCATATTCAATGAAATGAAATTACATATTGATTTCAATTTTCAGAA